ATGTGTTGTACATGATCAAGCCGTGTCCTGCCTTTATTGCATTCCCTAAAGTAATTGTCTTCACATCCTTCATTTACTTTGTGAAATAGAGACATTGAGGGTTACAACACACAATTGGAGTAAAATCTGGGTAACTTTTATTTGTGCCTTGTCTCATCACTGAATAGGAGACTACAATCACCTTGTCTGGTCTTTAATTCCCTGTAGAGCGGAGGTCATGGTGATTGCTTTGCTAGATGTGTTTCACTGAAAAATACAAAGCCTACTGAGTCTTTCTTGAACTTAAAGGGTGCAGGCCGGAGGGGACGTAACCCCTTACGGCTGAGGCAACTCACATTATGTAAATGTAGAATATGTACTTTTTCTTGAGTGACCATTTGAACCCTGACCAAGTGGCGAGTTGATTCACCTATTATAATAAAATCATGAATGTTAATCTGTTGTTATTGGCAACTGCCTGGCTTTGTTTCAGTGAAAGCCTGTTGAAGTTCCCAGCCTTCATAAAATGATATGTTACATATCCCAGCAGCTGGTCTGGCAGAGGGATCCAGTGTGTTAATTTTGGAGTGATGCTCCTGTTTGAGCCTGTTTTGAAAAGCCATGGATCTCCACGAGGGAGTTCTCCCACCCTATAGATGTGTTTCCTTTTCCAGCAGACAGACTGTAAGTTGGACATCCCTCTGCTTTTATATACCATGAGTTCCACACTGTGCTAGAAGATACAGTGCCTTGCTTTTTGGCTTTACATGGCTTGCATGGCCTTTCTTGTTGCACAATCTTTAGACAGTGTGTCCAGCATGTCAGACAGCTCTGGGTGAATAAGAAAGTAGTTAGTCTAACCGATACAGATTTCTGGGGTCAGTGGCAGCTCCAGCAGGCTGATGGAAGAGATGGATAAACTCTAAGTCTTACTTTTAAGGCCCATTTCCATCCAGTGCAGGTGAACAGTTCATTTTTAACGTCAGACGATTCGTATACAATTCAAGATTGTATGTAATTAAACTGGTCTTGGTAGAATGTGAACTAAACACTGTAGTTTTGATTTATTAGATTATAGACCCAATGGATGTGTGCGTTGGCTCCAAAGTGCTGCATAAGCTTTTAACGCACAATAAATGCACCTTAAGGCCATAACCTGTGGTGAAGAGTCACCGGTAGATATTGCTCCATGCCGAAAGAAAACCCTGACACAGCACACTGTATACTAGAACTGAGAGGAATAGTGTTTTATCTTCTTGACCAAGAAGGATACTATAAATTCTGGCAAGGGAAGACGTATGCTGTTTGGAACTTTAGCTTCACCTCTCAACAATCACATTTGCTCTCTGTCAAAGTGACATTACAGATGCTTTTACAAAATCTTAGACATTTGTTATATTTTTAATTGGAAAGAAATTTGTTGAAGTTGAAATTACACACATTAACAAAAAATTGTTTTTCTCACTCAGTTGACATTTACCCCTTCCCTCTGGCCAGAGTCACACTCCAAGATGTCGGCGCCATTCAGCTCCAATTAGGCCCTTTCAAACTAATTTAGAAAATCGTGTGGGGAAAAATCCTCTGTGTTGAATTTTCTCAGGGGACAGATTTGGAGCTTAATTAGTTGGAGACGTCTCATAGTGTGACTTTGACCTCTCGTACTATTTTTTACAGTCTTTTCTCAATGATTTGTGTTCACTGTGTCAGTCGAACCGCATGTGGCTTTGCTAACAGGGGGCGTCCAGCACAGTGCAGATCAAAGTTATGCGCTGGGGGTGAAGAATGGTGACCGGTGGTGTTTTGTGTGGACACGGGTCAACGATCGGAAGCCGGCTTCCCCGTGGGGCTCAGGCCGTGTTTTGGGGTCATGGTGCGGAAAGCAGCCTGTCCTCCTGCCGGCCCCCGGCAGCCTTTCCACACTCCCTGGGGTGTGTTTTGTGTTGGGCCGCAGGTCAGCGGCGCTGCTGTTTCAGGCCATCAGGTTGTTTTCTTTACCCTCTCTGTTCTCGCCACACACTCTTACTGGAAGAGACAGACATGGCAGCTCAATGCTTTGTGGCCCTCCTCTCATCTAGAAAATAAGGCGAGTTGTGGTATTTCAGCAGCAGTAGGCTTACACACATGCGCGCACACACAAATATAAGCATCGATATGAGGAGAAATATAGCATTCCCAACCAGGGACTTGTATTCCAGGAGTCTACTTTTTCTTTGGAGGTACGTGGAAAATTACGGAGTACTTCAACTCATCTGCTGTATACTCTCAATGACCCCATCAAGCCAATTTTTTCACCTTTTCAAAAATAACAGACAGTGATGATGGATTTAAAACAGCACAGGTCCAGACATGAGATAATGTAGATTAGGTTGTTCCTGCTCTGGGTTCTGTAGATATGTGATGGAATTTCTTAGAGGAGTTGGTGTGTGTGTGTGTGTGTGTGTGTGTGTGTGTGTGTGTGTGTGTGTGTGTGTGTGTGTGTGTGTGTGCGCGCATTTCTGACTGTTAAAAAGGCATAACCACCACTCCAGCAGCTCTACTTCGTTATACTTGTCAGGGTCAAAGGTCATGAGGTCGACAGCTCCTCTGCAAACACAGAATGGCAGAAAATTAGGGTTTGGAGGAGGAGAGGAATAATGGCAAGCTGAACCTGAAATGTTTTTCATAACCTTCATGTTGACGAAGATTAGGCATTACTGCCAGTCTGCCTGTCTGCTTTGATCCATCTCATGGAGTTGTTTTCCAACAGTCGTATTGCCGGGTCAACCTTTCAGCCCCATGGCTTCTCTTTCTCCCAAAATGACTCATATTCCTGTTGCTGGCAGTGGCTTGTGGTCCTCTTGTCCTCAGGTAAACACACACAGCGGGCTACACACACATCCGGTGCATGTGCATTTCCATGCACAGATGTGTAGCTGTATGCAGATGTGCGTCGTGTTATTGCCAGAAACGTTTGACGGTGTTTAAAATGCCAGATGTCTGTAACCTTTATGTGACCTGCAGAGAGCTCTTTGCAGAGGGTGGACCATGCAGCCAGTCAGCCTCCATGTCTTCTTCTCTCTTTTCCCTGCTTTTTGTCTAATGCAGCGCTGCAACCAATGATTATTTTCATTATGGATTAATCTGGTGATTATTTTTTTTTCAATTATTTGATTAGCCATTTAGTCAATTGAATGTCAGAAAATGTCCATTCCAGTGGCCAAGGTGACGTTGTCAAATGTCCGTTTTTGTTGGACCGGCAGACCCCAAAGATATTCAGTTTTACAATATAACAAAGAAAAGCAGAAAATCATGGCATTGGAGATGTTGGAAGCAGAGAATGTGTGGAGAAAAGTTATTATCATACTACTAATAAGAAAAATATAATTTTGGCAAGAAGTATGAGACAATTGTCTTGTCTTGTATTACAAATGGGCGACTTGTAGAAAGAACTAGACCAATGATTACGGGTGTTTGTAAGGGTAAATATAAATATAAGCTTTAATTATTTATAGATGATCCATGTGCTTAACTTACTTATAAGAATCCTAACCACCTTTGCTCAACTCTTTTTCAAAATATTCAGTTGTCTCAGGTTATGGAATTAATTTTGAAAAAACTTTTGGTGTAATAAAACAATGTTAAAACAACATGAGTTACATCAAAAGTGTATTTAAAGGGGCTGCCTGATGTATAGCTACTCTGGGATTTCCACCTGTGAATTGCTGTTTTGGGCTCCAGGGATGGCAATGTCACTCAGTCGGTCAACCACTTTAGTCCAGACTGAAATGTCTCAACAACTGTTCAATGGATTGCCGTGACATTTTGCGCAGACATTCATGGTAACCAGATGATGAGCCCCAGACTTTCCTCTGGAGGAAAGTCCATGAGGCTTTTCTTGTAGGGAAATATCTCATCAACCTTTGGATGGACTGCCATGAAATTTGGTGCGCACATATTTGTCCCTTTCAAGAAGACTTTAAATAACTGTGTTGATCCCTCAACGTTCCCTTTGGCGCCAACTTCAGGTCAACATTGGAATTTGGTTCAAGACCAAATACCTGAAAAACTAATTACATTCCCATCAGTTGTACTTTGTGTTTAGTGCTAGCTACATGACAGCATGATAAAACGCTAAACATACCTGCTAAATATTAGCATGTTAGCATTGTCGTTGTGAGACTTTTAGCATACAATGTCACTATTGAGCCCAAAACACCATTTGTGTCCAGCCTCACAGAGCTGCCTGCATGGCTGTAGACTGTTTTATCTACCATGGTTACTGGTGTTAAGTGGAAACCTATGCTGAAAGTCTCCCCTTCCTATCAAAGCAATTCTATGTGACAAGTTTATGTCCTTCTCTTCATCTCACTAGATTTTATTATTGCTTTTAACAATGTGTCATGCTGTTTTGTTTGACATTTCTCCGTTGTCTGTCTTCCTCAAGCATTGACCTGAGATGGGTCTTTACTTTATGAGCAGATTCTTACAAATAGTAATGTTTTTACTGTCACTGCCGCATGGAGGAGGTGTTGCCGCCCCCTTTTCTATAACCAGATGGGTGTGTTGGGTAGAAAAGACGCCGCAGCTGGACCCCACGCACAGAGATGATCTCTTTATCCTGGGATTGTCCCGGAGGAAAGTACCCTCATTTCAGCGAGCAGAGGAGAGAGAAGAGGGAGGGTTGGCGGGAGGGGGTGATACTAAGATGAATGAATATTTGTGGAGTCTCAAGGGTCCAAAGCAAACTCCCTGCAGAGGCCCTGGGCTCTGGGCTCAACATTAAAGTCCCAGGTGCCATCGGTATTCAATAAAGCCGTGGTCAAAGGAAAGAAAGGCAGAAAAGAAACTTCAAACAGTCTCCTAAGAACAGCTCGAAGCTTTTCCCTCAAATCTTGGATGTGTTTTTGTGTTGCCATTACAGTATTGCCAACATTTTAGTGACATTTTTGCATTAGTGATGCCTTTTGAACATGCAAGAAGTGTGGTCTCTTTCTCTTCCTTCTGCTAAATTGCGTTCTTCCATTTAATTTTCTATGTTCCAGGGGGCTGTTCATCTCTATACATGACCGGGGCCACATTTCTACGCTGCTCCAGAACTGGCCAGAAAAGGACATCAGGGTAAATGATACCGCTCAAACGGTGGCATGAAGTCTTATTTAATAATGCTCATGTTGTTCCAGCACTGTCAGATTACAAAAAAAGTGTTGTTCTGTCTGACTGCATCAGTAAAGCACAGAATAACAATGTTCGAGTGCAAAAATGGAAACACCAGAAAGGTTTGGTCGATTGGCTCAGTAGCCAATAAAAAATGAGTGATGATACAAAAATAATTTGTGGCTTTTGTATTGGTTTCAAGGAATTTGCTGACAATTCTAAATTATAGAATGTGATCTGCCTTATCCTTAGATTTATATGCATTTAGCAGACAACATTTTATTGTAGGACATTACAGTATACATACATTGAAAAACAACAGAATACAACCAACAAACTTTAGAGTCATTGTTTCGACATTTCATTCTGATAAAGCAACACAATGTTGTTACCTGGTAACAACATTGTGTTGGTCCTCTTGACCTGCTGTATTGGCCAATTTCCCAAAAGCCTGAAATATTCCTTTTAATCTTCTCTATAGAGCAACTATGTGCTAAGTCACGATCTAGTCATATTCAGAATGACGATACCAGTGGACATTCCTGGCACGTCAAATAAACCTGCAGCTCAGCCACCTGTTCACGGCTGTCAACAGCAGGGCATTTAGCTCAGCGCTGACATGCCGCCTCTCATTGTCAGGGTGGTCTTATCGTAAACTCACCTAATACGGCCTACTTTTAACATTTCCATAGAGGGAGGGCACACAGGAGCCAGGGTAGTCATCCACTGACTCACTTAATAACAAGTGTTGGGGGGAGAAAAAAAGCTGTGAATGGTATAATTTATGGTCATTATAGATTTTAAACATTCAAATGGGAAAACTAATGACACTCTTTGTCAGATTGTGGGAGGAACCAGGCTGTTGTGCCAGTGTTATCTGCGTCACACAGATGGTGGAAAAAGACAAATACTTGACAATTAGGAACATTTCAAATTAAACTATTTTGCTGGGGATATTAACACAATTGATTTGATTCATGCTGTGGAATCAACCTCATTTACTGCTTAATAAGTAAAAGGACTAGTGAGTGGAAAGCCAGGAGGGTGATCTGTAGGAGGGCCTGGCTTACACTGAGGGAAAATAAACATGTTACTGGGTAGCAGGGTGGACTTGTTGTGCTCAAAACGATTTGAATTCATGAGGCAAGGAGGCAGAACTGCTGCTTCATTTATGTTCTCATAAAAATGTGTGTAAATGTGATGTCAGATCTAATTTTAGACTACCCTACATGGAACAGCATTATACACAGATTGTAATTGATGCGATGGTTGTTTAAAGCTTACATTTCTTTTGATTGACAGGCGGTGTGTGTGACGGACGGAGAGAGGATCCTGGGGCTGGGAGACCTGGGCTGCTGTGGCATGGGCATCCCCGTGGGTAAGCTGGCCCTCTACACAGCCTGTGGAGGTGTGCCGCCCCACCAGTGCCTGCCTATCATGCTGGATGTGGGCACGGACAATGAGGTGAGAGCTGTGGTCTAAATATAAGTGACGGACCATTCACAGAACTATAAGCAACTTCTTATATTGAGTTATCTTTATTTTTGTGTCTATCAGAGATGGAAAGCAGTACTGTACAGTACACAAGTATAGTTTTAATGCATCTACCTGTTTTTTCATTCTGTCACAGAATAAATAACTAGTCTACAGTCATCCTAGCCGCTCTGTGAGGCTGCAGTTAGCACACACTTTATCTAAATGCTGACGTGAGAATGCGAACATGCTCTCAAAGACAACGCTAACTTGCTGATATTTAGCAGGTTTAATGTAGACCGTGTTCTTACTTTAGCACGTTAGCGTGCTAACATTGGCTAATTAGCACTAGCACAAAGTACGGATTAAACAAACAAAAGATGCAACATGTTAATTAGGGAGCTTTTAAGGTGCTGGCAGGCAGATTTTGTTATCACTTGCAGAGTTTCCAGTCTTTATGCTAAGCTAAGCTACCCAGCTCCTGGATGTAGCTTCATATTTACCGTACAAACATGTGAGTGATATCAATCTTATTGTCTAAACCTTGACAAATATGTGAACAAGTATATTTCCCAAAAGTCAGAATTTGAAGTGTAGGACTATCGCCTGTAGTGGAGTATTTCTAGTGTGGTGTTGCTACTTCGACTTTGAAACATTTACAGATTTACATTTTTTTTATTGAAGTACAGTGGGGCTAAGACAGGGAAAGTGGTTTACTTCCCACACAGAGGCCAGAGATAAAGGTTAGCTTCAGAGCAGCAGGGGCTGAATTCAAAGTGGATTACATTTAATTAGATAAAACTCTAATCGTCCCTGTGGAGAAATTAGGTCATTATAGCCCAAGGAAGTAAATATCAAGTGTGCTTGGTCTTCTTGCTCACCTTTCAACTCTGCTGCCCCTGACCCTTAAACTCAAAATATTGCTCCAACACATTAACAATCCATGAGTACATGATGGTTGATGCCAGAAGGGAAATGTTCCTTATCCCCCGTAGCCAGGTAGGCCTTGCCTCAGAAATCTGCCAAGAAAAAGAAAACTAATCTCACACTTAACAACCAGGAAACACCCTTAATATAAGTGAGGTAAGCAGCTCCACTGATGGATGCCAGATGGGAAAACACCTCTCCCCTCTGCCAGCCTGCGAGTGTAGCAGGCAACAGAGCCAGGCTTACCCATCTAGGGTCCCTGTTCTCTACAGCAGCGTCTCTTAAAAGATGATTCAAACTCTGGGCAGGGCAGCACGTGCGTCTGCAGCCTTAAACAGACTAAGAATAGTCTGTGTGCACATCTAAATATACACAACTCTCAGCCAAGGGCGTAGCAGTCTCAGATGCATGTGTCCTCGACACCGTCGAGCTCAGCCTGTCAGTAGCTGTCCTGCATCGTCCAAGACTGTCTTCACATGACTCAGTCCCCGGAGTTCAGTTTCTATCCAAGCAAATGTCCTAAGTGGATTAAGGATGAGAGTTGTTGCTGAGGACAGATGAGTTTGCAAATAAAATAAAACTTCAGATGTAATTGGCAAAAAAGTATATGCAATATTTGTTAGACTGGAAAGAGACCAAGAATAGGAGAAGCCCACTGATTTCATGCAGACATCTCTTGCATTATAACAACAGAAACACTGCAGTCTTCCCAGAATGCCTTTGCAATATATTACATTGCTACGTTAGCCGTCTTCATGCCATTGAAACTGGATTAAGTGAGAAAAATCCTCTCTCATTCCACCCTGTCTTTATCTTTATAGACATACAGTACTGGCATATCTGTGCGTTCTAAGTTTCCACATTGAGCTTGAGCGATTCTGGTTAAGCGTGATAACACCATCTGCAGATTCTTGGGTGCACGGCACCAGTTTTAGACATTTATGGGCAACACAGCACAACTTTAACAATCTGTCTCATAGCTTGATTTGTTTCAATCCCTCAATCTGCTTTATATCTGCTGCCAAAATAGGGAGAGGAGAAACACTTGTTTTGTTTCTCTTCCTATTTTGGCAGCAGATATGTGTGTCAGTCTGTTGCAGTTGAGGCAGCGCTGTTGGACTTCAACCATGACAACTTAAAATAGTGTAGGTAGAGAGGTTATAGGAACAGTTAAACGTACAATGTAGCTGTACAGCTAATGGCATAGTGTAAACAGCCAGCTTGGTTCAGTCCAAATTTAAAATTACGGTTCCTAACACCTCAATAAGCTCACTAATGAACACATTGTAAATCAATTTGTTAGTCACTGGCTGAGTCATGCAATTTGCAAAATAGCTGGAGATACTGGGTGGGTGGATAAAGTGTTGTTTGTTAAGAACAACTTTTACTCGGCTCCAGCTCTACGCTTAATGCACAGATTTATATTTTGGGGCAGTAACAAGTAATGTGATTACTTTCTTTCAGTAACGAGTAGCTATGCCTTATGCTTGTGAGAGGTGGGACTGAAGGTGTGTGAGGCAGTTAGCTCCTATTAAAAAGGAAGAAATGCAACTCAAAAATTGTAAAAAACAACATAAAAAAAAACAATTCTTAGCGGGCTTGCTGCTGTTAAGCCTATTTAGCATCACCTGGATTCTTTAAAGTTGGAGGTTGTGTGAAATGGACTTCTACTGAGCCGCTGTGTGCGGTCGCCCAGGGCTAACGTCAGGCTAGCTGTTAATGATACAGTAAGTACATACCTATAAAACATTGTCTTGCTTTTTCAGAAGCTGTAACCTTGTGTTTGGAGTTGTTTAAAGGCATATGACATATGAAAATAATATAATGAGTAATGTAGCAAATTACTTTTGTCGTACTTTTTAGATTTATTCCACTGGACATGAGACTTACTGTATAGACCTCTTGGAAAGAAAGACATTATTTACCATTAACTATCGGGCATTACTAGTGATCCATCAGCACCTAACAGAAAGTGTACTGTACATGCACAGGGTCAAACCTTGTCTGCAAGCGCATATACGTTCACACACACACACACACACACACACACACACACACACACACACACACACACACCGTATTGTTGTGTGTGTGCAGCTTTAAAAGAAATACCGTTACAAGAGATTTTACTATAGTCTGCCTGGCCCTGGCAAACGTTTCCATTTTTCTCTTATTCTAAAGAGATGACAGGCTAAATGAGTTGTAATGGGATAAATAGGCTATGTGAGTGTGTGTGTGTGTGTGTGTGTGTGTGTGTGTGTGTCCTCCCTCGGTACCCTGCCTCAATCTGCCATCCTGACTGTGAAGGCATGATGGGACCAGATGGAGGTGGGAGGCTATGAGGTAGTGGTAGCTCCAGCTAATTATTAAAATGACTGTTATTATAGGATTATATTTGTCCTTGAGTGGATATGGGAGTAGAGCGAGAGAGAGAGGCAAGTGGCCAGACATCCAAACAGTCGAGCAGGCAGACCCCCTGACCATGACTTTTCTTTTTTCTTTAGACAAATAATTTTTGAACATTTTGGGAAACAAACTCACTTCCTCTCATCTAACTTTTGGCAAGAAAATGAATTAGCATATTTCCCCAAAAGTGGAACGAGGAGGCTCGGAGCCTGTGAAATGTCTGTTTTAGACCTTTAGAAATTGTGCCACTGTGTAATTGTTATTCTTTCTGCGGAGGAATGTGGTAGCTGTGTAATCTCATGTGAAAACCAGCAATGAAGTCTCACTGGACCGCTCTTATCTCTGTCTTACATACAGTACGCACAAGAATGAGTCCAGTTTTTACTGCATCATCCTGCTATCTCCCTGGACTCTATCCATCAGTGCCTGATGTCACCTGGAGTAACCTCAACACACACACACACACACACACACACACATACACACACACACATACACTCATGCTGAAATCAGAGTCAATGATGTCATCCAGGACAATATGCTGTTTGTGCATCGGTGCCGGGTGGGCTTTCACATGTCCAATGCCGGGTGTCTTTTCCCTCAGACAGGTCCGGGCTATTCTTCATTCCTGGTCTCGTTCCACTGCTTCTTCAAAACAAACTTATCGAAGATGCTGCAGTCACATTTCGAATACACTAAAGGTTGCATGTCGAACGACTTAAACTCCCTCGTTAAAAGTCCAGCACTCATCAGTTTGGAAACAGTTTGCAACAGTGAAAGTGGAGCTTCTGTGTCTCTAGCTGGTATGAACTGTAAAGCCATACACGAGGACTAATCCCTTCTGAGAGAGAGAAGGGTCTGTACGACACAAAGGACAGCTTAGCCAATCAACGGTAGATAATCGGGGACAGAAAGACGACTCGTGTCAACAGTTCAGCGCAGTGTCAACGAGGTCAGCCCACTTGAAACCCACTCAGGACTATCCGAGTCGCTTATAACGCAGCTTCCTCTATTCCAGCTTTTAATACCAGTTTTGTCCCAGCGTGTAAATGGACAGAGTAATGAAACAAAAAAATCACCATCATATAAACTCAATAGAAGGTGGTCATTTGTATCTCTCTCCTTGCATGCTCTTGCATCATCTTGTGAAATTCCCACCAACAGCGCCCTCTGATATCAATCCGCCTCTCACCCGGATCACATTAAAATGTTTTGCTTGTTTTGGTTATTGTTGAACTTGGCCAACTCTGACCTATTACTGTCCATTAAAAGCTTGCCAGGAAATGAGTTGTCGACTTCAAATAAATCTTGCCTTTATATAAACCTTTTGAGCTGTTCTTGGACGTGGCAGCTCTTGACCCTGCCATGGAAAGGCGGCTGTCGCACTCATCTAAGTGGCACCCTCTAATTATCCATCTCCTGAAGTAAAGGTCGCCTGTCCCAATGAGGCTCGACAATTCTCTGGATGACTTCCCCGGCCTTTGGGGCCGAACGTCAAAGTTTATGGAGTGTAGCAGATTTAGGTTACGAGTCTATCCTCCAAAATCTGTCTAGGTACAAATCTACAACTCGTTGTATGTTTGGACACAGCCATGTTGTATCAGGTGGGTGCAGCGAGTCAAAGATCTGATGGACTATGTGCCGATACCGCAAAGCAAAGTCTGTAAGCGATCTATCAGCACTGCTAGGTGACATTTGCAAAGCAATGTACTGGTGTAGCAGCAGTAAAACATATTTTTGACACCTAAAAACATCTATACCAGTTTAAGCGTACGCTATATGAAGAAAATTGTACCTCTTTGTACCTGGAAAACGAATGGCATTCCCATCAGCCTCCGCTGTGATTTGTGTTTTGTGCTGATTTATAACGTTATCATGCTAATACACTGAACTATAATGGTGAACATGCTCAAATATCAAGACTGCACAGAAACCATGCAGAGAAGTTTGCTAGCCTGTGAGAACAGTTGTAAAAAGGCTTCTTTGGCTCTGGAAGGTGCTATTTAATAGTCTGAATAAATAAAGATTACATCATCAGGGTTATTTGGACTTGGACATTGAACATTTTTAACACAAAGCTTGTGTTACAAGCTTTGGCCATCATATTTGATAGAGAGGTGGGAGTTTACGAGACACCATACATGTAAATGTGCATTTTGGGAGGTGTAGGATCCTCTCTGTTTGGGTCTTGGCACACACTTGGGAATAAGTGGATATTTGCACTTCAGCTACTCAGGTTTTCATTAGTCTATTAAAAGCCCCCCAACTTTATGGAAATGTCATCCCTTATAACTGGAGCACAGTCTAGTTACACACGTTGGTAAAGCTTTTTTATTTACAGGTCTTTAATTTCCTAATGATTTTGTAGTTACTTTGCTGAAGAGAGTTATGCACTTTGGTACTGTAGTTGAAATAGGAACAAACCAATTCAATCTAAATGCTTACAGTTTGATTTTCCATGTTTTGGGAGTTTTACTGCATCTGAAAAAAGGTTGAAGTCTGTCCGGGTAGAAAACTACAAGTTTGAAAATAAAAGAAATCTTGGGATGTGGAGTTAGAAAGAAGTGAGTTTAGTAGCCTCCTCATCTCTGCCTGTGGCTAGCAGCTACCTGTAAAACACACCCAAATCACTCAACCAAAGTTAGTTAGTTGTGGAGTTACTAACTTGTACAATTCCCTAGTGCAGCTTTAAAGACAGAAATATTAAGTTGAGATGGAACATCAAAAACTAAAAAGTGTCCTCCTTTCCCCCCTCTTCTCCTTCAGTCTTCCCATCAGTTTCACATTCCCTCCTCTCACCTTCTATTCTGTCCTCTGCCTCCATGTGTTTTTGCAGGCGCTGCTGAAGGACCCTCTCTACATTGGGCTGAGACATAAGAGAGTGCGGGGCCAGGCCTACGATGACCTGCTGGATGAATTTATGAAGGCTGTGTCAGACAGGTATGATCCTATTGGCCTCTTGCAGTCTGCTATTGTCGTTTTTTTTTAATACAAACAGCACATGGTGCTGTTAAAAGAAATATGTCCAGCAGTTCAGCACAGTCAGTACCTCCAGTGTGATGGAGCCAGACCTTTTGGGATTCAACGGTCTGGAACTTCGGTCGCAGATGATTCGGTTTTACTTTCTTTGAACTAAGTTTATATTGCTGCTTAGCAGCGCCAATCAAAACTCTGCCCACTGGCTGAATGGAAACATCCGCTTATTGAGAAGTGATCAGAGAGCCGTGGTTACCATTAGTGCTATTGATTTCGGTGGCATGATCTTCTCCCGACAGAATTCTGACAGCACAGCCAACCAACGATTCAGAAACCGGTTGAGCCTCCAGCAGTTGAGCTGAACACTTGTATGTTTTTGACTCTTGGCAGCATAACATAATGTATTTTGAACCTGCCCATAATGATCTGTCTTGCTCGTTAGTCCACAGAAACTCAGCCAATTGGACTTTTTCAGTGGTGATAGGAGAACCTCTCTGTTTGTTGTGAACAGCCTATTCAGAAGTGAAATGCATGATTATCCTGAATGCAGAATGATTGAGCATGTGAACAGCGAGGTTTACAGGAATCTCCGTGTTGACTCCAGTGGTGGCAGACCAGGAAACATATATCACCATATCTTCCCCAAGCACAGAGGAGGCATGATTTAGACTTGTGGTGTCGTGTCATGTTTGATTTAGCAGTGGTTCACTGTGAGGGGTTAGCTTTGGCTAAGAGGCACAGGGAGACTGAAGTGTTAAGTGTTCCATATTGTTATTCATTTGGTTTGCACGCACATTGATCGTATCTTTTCCCTCCTCTCTTGAGCTAAAACTAGGTGCAGTCATGCTGGTGTTTTTATTGCAGTGCTACCCTTAATGAGACTGTTGTATACTTTGGGGCTTGTATGCATGCCGACACATCTGCGTATCTCTGCGTCCCTGTGCACCATGAAGCGATCACACACACACACACACACACACACACACACACACACACACACACAC